CAGACAGACAGACAGACAGACAGACAGACAGACAGACAGACAGACAGACAGACAGACAGACAGACAGACAGACAGACAGACAGACAGACAGACAGACAGACAGACAGACAGACAGACAGACAGACAGACAGACAGACAGACAGACAGACAGACAGACAGACAGACAGACAGACAGACAGACAGACAGACAGACAGACAGACAGACAGACAGACAGACAAGTGAGTGATTGCAAAAGCTCACCAAGTGAGCTAATAAATGCAAAACTACTGACGAGTATGGTTAATCCGTGTGAAACAGGAAAATTGATACAACTGAATTCTTACGGTTGTGTCAGAAAAATGGCACTCAGCGAAATAATACAATTATATAGTATAATGGGCCACTAATACGCAGTAGACGCTTGTACAAGATTTAGCATAGTCACGGTTGTGTCAGAATATCTCCTGCAATAAGTGTTATGTGCTAGCTTAAATGATATTTGTTCAACATTGGCTTGGATATGTTTCATATGTTAAAACTACTAAAACTGCAACTATCATAACTGGACAACAGCAACGTCAAAGCGTAGCAAATCCCATCGAATAGCCATGGCTGGCATTTATATAAAGAAAGTACAAATGTAATTCAGCGAAAATCGTAAAATAACACACAGACAGTGTGTCATGCTTCTGAGTATGTGCAATGAGGACCAAAACTCCATACCAGTTTTTAGTCAATAATCTAGTCATTATTAGATAACATGTAAATCATTTATCATCATTTATAGATGGAATTATTACTATTTATCAATCTATGCATTATTGTACTTTTAGATGAATTGTAGTTTTATTGTTGAATGTCATATCTACATATATATATAAACACTGTTATTAGTGATCTTTAAAGTCCAGTGTCTCATAAGCCGACATCGGTTTTTTTTTTTTTAGAATATGTATTTATTTGCAACAAATGTAAACAAGTGACACTATAATAAACTATTTTAATAATAACTAGACATGTAAATTGAACAAGTTCAATTTAAGACTCCAGATTTCAGACTTTTTTTAAGCTGAGTCATCCGAATACTTGTAAGCTGAGTCATTCAGAATAAGCTGAGTCAGCTAGAATATAGACATTTAGACAACTCTTTAGTATGTTATCTTCGACTCCATTAACTTAACATGGGGATATCATTATATGAACTTTTCGAGACTTCAAACCGCTAAAATATCTAACCAGAAGTTGCATCGAAATTTGGTTTAAAGATTCGGATTCCTGAGAAAATTCTACCCTTAAGTCATAACTCATACGTTAAATTTGGAGAACTTTTTATTTTGACCCATTTTTCGGACACCATATCTCAAAAGTGGGTCAAAATACTTTCTGACGGCAAAAAGCTAACACATTAGCACACTCTTTGCTACCTGTATACACAAATTTTAACCAAATCATTAAAGTGTATTGTCAGAATCGCAAAAATAAGGAAAAACTATGAATTTGACCTAGATTTTGACCTAGGCATTTTGGTGTTCAAATTTTAAAGCTAGGTAAACACAAAGTCATCTCAACCCAGTCCAACTCAACCCAAAGTCAACTCAACCCCAAGTCAACTCAACCCTGTAAAACTCAGCCCCAGTAAAACTCAACCCTATTCGTTTGTGCAATGTCTAATTTAATTCTTTTATGATGAATAATTTAAGTCATTCATTCCTGAAAATCTAGCATTTTGTATGATACTTTGAATAGAAAGTTGTAAATGTATTAAAAAAACGGTTAAGTGCAAGGATAATTCATCAAGTTGTCACTATTATTTCATTTAAGACATCTTTTGAAATCAAATTTTAGATAATTTAGAAATAATTAACAATGTAATATAACTTTTATTTATATGAACATGCATTAACAAAATCATTAACATTTACTAATTGATAGATAGAAGGCATATAGCCGTAGCCAGGGGGGGGGGAGTGCGCACACATCCTCCTCCCAATTTTGAAGGAAGTTGCATCATTTTTTATCAAAACATATCTTTTTTGGCTCGCTTATGCCACGATCGGCACCCCCTGACTGAAAATCTGATTTTTTGGGGCCATCGCATCCCTCTTGACTGAAAGCTGGCTATGCCCCTGGAAAACAATGGTCATGTTCCAGTTTTCCAAATAATCACGAGTGTCAACCTCATAGGGATTACAACAAAACAAATATATGAGCAAGATTAATAAAATGACCCATATTTTAATCCTATTAGTACCATGTTGAGGTTTTGGAGATAAACTCATTATTTAGACTAAATAACTATAATCTAAAAAGGCAGTGGTCTAAGAATGAAAATCACAAACTGAATTATGAGAATTATTTTTATGAATAAACTTTCTTATAAGTTTATCAATATATAGAAATATAGGGGTTGAGTTTTACTAGGGTTGAGTTTTACAGGGTTGAGTTGACTTGGGGTGGAGTTTTACTGGATTGAGTTGACTTGGGGTTGAGACGACCATGAAGCGCCTTCGAGGTCCCCTTCTTTTATAAGCGTTCAGAATGTTAAGCTGTACTCAGTCTATATCTCGTATTTTACACTTCAAAAAAATATTTTTTCTCATTGACATAGCATGGGGCACCAAATTTAGCGATTTTTGAACTTTCAAAACGCCATAACCTCCGAAAGGAAAGTTGGATTGAAATTTGGTTTGTAGATTCGGATTCCTTAGAAAATGCTACCCTTAATTCATAACTGATACGTTAAAGGAGAACTTTTTATTTTGACCTACATTTCGGACACGGCAAAAGGATAACACTATTAGCGCACTCTTTGCTACCTGTATACAAAATTTTGAAGCAAATTATTGAAGTGTAGTGTCAGAATCATATACGAGGCCCGTTCAGAAAGTAAGTAACCAACTGCTCTCATTTTTCATACTGTATTGAATCATATTGAAATTTTTACAGACGATGTAGAAAATATTGACCTATTAAATAAGACTAAATGTAATGGGTTAACGTCAATTCCATTGTTATTGGTGTTGCTATGGTGCATTTGTTTCGGGTAGGCGGGACACCCTTTTGTAAGCGGCTTTGGAAGATGATTTGTAGAGTTCTTAACATGTTGTATACCTCCACATGACCTCACATTTTCATGTAAAACTGCGTAATTTGTTCTATCACAATGGTAAATACATTCCATTGTCTTATTTATGAGTCATCAACACAAAGAAATAGAGGACATATGTCTCATAATGATGGTCGCGGTTCAGTCACAGTTTCAATCAAGTCAAATGTGGTTGAAAGGGGATTTTACTGGCATGACAACAATGGTTGGTCCACCCCACAGAGTCCACATTACTGAAAATACAGTAGATGAAGCCTTCTCCATGGCCGCACAACTACCCCAGGCTCCCTATTCCCTAGACCTGGCCACATTCGACTAATATCTCTTTCCAAATGCAAAGATGTCGTTACGGGGAATCTGTTTTAGAGCAATACAGTCGTCATTAAAGCTTTCAATGGCAGTAGGTGACCTGTTGCACTTACAAAAGGGTGCCCCGCCTACCCAAAACAATTGTCACCATAGCAACACCCATAACAATGGAATTGACACTAATCAATTGTCATTGATCTTATTTAATAGGATAATATTTTCTGCATCACCTGTGAAAATTCCAATGTGATTGAATAAAGTAAGAAAAAATGAGAGCAGTTGGTTTCTTACTTTCTGATCGGGCCTCGTAAATAAGAAAAAACTATGGATTTGACCTAGGTTTTGACCTAGGCATTTTGGTGTCCAAATTTTGAAACTATGTAGCTTTTGAGGTCCACTTCTTTTATAAGCATTCATTATGTTAAGCTGTATTCAGTCTTTATCTTGTATTTTACACTTCGAAAAAGTCTTTTTTCCCATTGACTTAACATAGGCACCAAATTTAGCGATTTTTGAGATTTCAAAACGCTATAACTTCCAAACCGGAAGTAGGATCGAACTTTTGTTGCAGATTCGGATTCCACTTATTTGATTACTCACACGTTGAATTTGGAGAACTTTTTATGTTCTGACCTTTTTTCGGACGCCATATCACAAAATCGGTAAGAGTAATCAAACAACGATTTGCCTTTCGGAATTAGCTTTTTTCTAAGGAACATGATGAAATAAACCGGAGCGAAAATACTGAGAAAACTTGTAATATAGTGAAAACACACGATTTGACCTAGTTCTTGACCTTTGGCCTAGATATACATTTGACCTAATTTCCCAGAAACTAGGTCTCATTACTAGTTGACTATGTTGGCAGATTTAAGTCCTTCTAGTTGCTGAGAAAAAGTGTTCGGAAAGAAAGAATAAGAAAACTGGCAAAAGCAATAGACTCCAGGTATTCACATATCAAATATGAACAAAATCGCTCTATTACTTTTTGAGTTATAGTAAAAAACGTAAAATAACACACATAAAAATGGTGGCAAGTTTTAAAATGGCCACCTTTTTTACATTTGAAACATATTGCTATTACAGGTTTAATTATTGTACCTAAATTACTGTAAAATCGGCACTAAAATGGCCACCATTTTTAAATGAGCAGCAGTTTTGAAAATCGGCTTTCGAGCAGAACTTCTACCCCCAAACGGCAAGTGTTCATACTCATACTCTTACGCAATGCGCTCATCTCTCCATGTTATGCATGGTTCAGCCTTGAGTCATTTGAGGGTTAAAGCGGAGAAAAGCAGCCCATTGGCAATTCTTTCTCCAAATTTACGTAAACGTAACTTCGAAAACCGGTTAAGACCTGCATTTCTAACCGATTCCGTTTACGTTACATTCCGTTGTCTTCTGTTTGTGATAAAAATGTCGTGGGAATTCTGCCCACAACGCGTGAAATAAAGAAAAAGGAAAAATCGTACCTTCGAGGTTCCGACATTTTGTTACCGAAACGTGGATCACCAGTGATGTCTCCAGTAAATGGACAGAGCAGCAAATCATCTGTTTTAAATCAATCCTGCCTTCATTGATAACCTCTATGAAAATAATACTTACAACATGTCTTCCAAATCAATGTCCCCAATTTCTCTGTTTTCATAGAGGTCTCTCCATGTAGAATTAGTAAGGCCAGATCTGTAGATGCTTTCAAACACAGGGACAGTGGAGCCCTTCCCCATAGAGTAGATCATTATTGTTGATGTCCTTTCATTACCAATGAAGAAATATAGTCGTTCGTCTATTGGAACAACCTCCACCGTCTCTGGCTCAGGGCCCTAATAGACATAATACAAGAACACAAATGTGTACAAAATGTCCCCACCAATGGGTGATCCCGTCAAATGGTTATCCTGAAAATGAGTAGACAAGACTTTACCGACACAATTTGAGGACGGAAAATCCAAAATGGCCACCTTAAAATTTACCCAGAATGCCAAAAAATAGTCAGTTCTAGATTTTCATACTAAGAACCACCCCTGAAAATTTGAAATTGATCCGTCACACAGTTAACCAGAAAACATGTAAACAAGACTTTACAGACAAGATTTTAGGATGGAAAATCTAAAATGGCTGCCTTGAAATTTACCCAAAATGTCAAAAAACTAATCTGTTCTAGATTTTCATACTAAGAATCATCCCTGAAAATTTGAAATTGATCTACCAAACGGTTAACCTGGAAATGCGTAGACAATACTTTACAGACAAGATTTTAGGACGGAAAATCCAAAATGGCTGCCTTGATGTTTAGCCAGAATCCCAAAAACCTAATCAGATCTAAATTTTTATACAAAGAATCCTTCCTGAAAATTTGACATTGATCTACCAAACGGTTCACCTAAAAACGCGTAGACAAGACTTTACAGGCAAGATTTAAAGACGGAAAATCCAAAATGGCTGCCTTGACATTTATCCAGAATGCCAAAAAACAAATCAGATCTAGATTTCCATACTAAGAATCATCCCTGAAAATTTGAAATTGATCTTCCGAATGGTTCACCGGGAAATGCGTAGACAAGACTTTATAGACAAGATTTTAGGATGGAAAAGTCCAAAATGGCTGCCTTGACATTTATCCAGAATGCCAAAATGGCTAATCAGATCTAGATTTTCATACTAAGAATCATCCCTGAAAATTTGAAATTGATCTACCAAACGGTTCACCTGAAAACGCGTAGACAAGACTTTACAGACAAGATTTTAGGATGGAAAAATCCAAAATGGCCGACAATAAAAAAAGTGATTATGAGTTTTTGCTGATTTCTTTTTACAAAATTATCACATATAACTACTGTTAACAATAACATAGGCTTTTACAACAAGGAACACCTGAAATTATTTATAAACCTACTAAATAGTTTAAGTATGAAAACTCAAAAACACCATTCAATATGATACAAAGTATTATTGAAGAGGAGGGAAAGCCCCAAATCCTCAGCGATGACTGACATACCACCTTCGTTTGCGCAAATTCTCACCAGTTAGTTTTCGAATATAACGCGTCGTTGTGATGTTTTAATAGATTTAAGCATATTCCTTACACCATTCTTTATCTTGATGTGAAATAACAAGCTATGATATTGGTTAACATGCCAGAAATTAACATAATATTATTCGAAGCATTATTAGAAATCTTTGAATCCGCCATTTTTGCTTGTCGATTTTGACAATCAGAGACGTGGGTCATGTCAATACAGGTTTACATTATAAGCGTATGTCATCTTTGATCTCTGGGGTTAATCCCCCTCTTGTATTATCGCGCGCTAACCTTTCTTAAAACATTCAAAATGGCTGACATGACTGGGCTAACAGGTCCAAAACCCAATCATATGTAGAATGAAGTGAGCTGAACAAGATGTTAAAGTTTTAAAAGCAACTGTGAAGCCGTTTTTCTTAAAGTTTGCAGCCAAGGATTTTAGATTTGACTTCAAAATGGCCGACAGGGAGTAGGTATCGAGCTAAAAAATTCATCCACATCTGTATGCACTCATAAGTTATCCCTAAAAGTTTGAAGGTGATATCTGTAGCGGTTTTGGAGAAAACTGCCGGACGTACGGACGGACAGACAGACGGACGAACAGATAGCGCAGTCAGATGTCCCTTTGATAGTTCATCTTTTTCAGGAAAGCAACAAACCTGGCACAGTTGTAGAAACATACAGGTATGATCTGAATGAAAAATGATTTCGGGGTAAGTGATTCGGGATGGTCTTCATGGATTTTAAGCCTCTGACCCCCACCCCTATCAGGCGGGGAGGGGTACATTATAATAAAATAAATAAAAATAGTTTTAAAGTATATTTCTTTAAATGACTTCATTTGATGATTGCTTTGAGCCTTGAAATTGAGAAAACCCTATTTTAGAAGTTGTGTTTAGGAAGGAAAATACATTCTAACCCAATTATCTAGCGTGAATTCATCTTTCAAAGGGTCAAATATGGGACATCAAGTACTGTATTTCAAGAATGTGATGTCTGATCATCCTGAAAAAATTCATACTAATAGAGGTATAGGTGGTTATCGTATGATATATGGCTTGTGTAGCTCATGTACTTTTTGAGAAATAAATTATTGAAATTTGGATTTTTAAGCCCTTGCGGCCTAGGGGTAGCCTTATTTTACCTTTATCATTTTTAAGATATGCAATTTTTGGGTCTCATATGAATTCAAAATGTTGCATTAAGTTCTGTTTTGTCATATTATTCCTAATAAGATGTAAAAAATTATTGGAAATTAAAAATAATTAATTTTCATTTTCGGTTCTAAAGGGCCAGGGCTAACCATATTTTACCCTAATAATTTCCCAGATATGTAATATATGCATCTCAAATTAAATTAGCTCAAGATGGTGCATATAGTTCTGTTTTATCATACTTCTTCCAAGATGTAGAAAAATGAGCGGATATATCTAAAAGATCAACATTTTCACTTTATCTTTTGATGGCCCTGGGGAAACCTTATTTTACCTTAATAATTTTCTAAATATGAGACATATTCACCTCAAATGAGCTTAAAATGGTATATTTAGTCCTGTTTTATCATATCATTCCCAAGGAGTGAAAATTGATTGGAAATTTTAAGAAAATGACATTTTCATATTACACCCCCAATCCGCAACATCTTCTTGCAGCGCTGTAAACAGTACTGAACAGTGCAGTCAGAGTACTGCATTGTATAGCAATGAAAAATGCCCTTCTAACACCATCTGTTTTGGACAGCGTGGTACAGTACTGTTTTTACAGCTCAGTACTGTGACCAGTACTGCTTTTACAGAGCTGTTTATGAAACCATGCTGTTTGATGCAGTTTGAGATTGGTAGTGTAGTTTATGATGGGTCTGAGATGACCTTATTTTACCGTAAAAATTTAAATAAAGATATATCATATTGTCTACTCAAATGAGCTCAAAATAGTAAATGGGCTTGAGCAAGCTATTGGTAGTACTTTCATATTGGCACCCAGAAAAAATGCAAGGCTTAAGATACAGATTGGAAATCAGTCTTATTAATTAGGTATATCCACTATATATCTGAGGAAGATATCATGTTTTGAAAGATGAATGGTAATTCTTTTTATAAATTTTCATGTATCAAAACAAAATATGCCTTATTCTCCATGTAACAAATTCCCGAGAAAAAATCATCATTTAAATATATACTTCAAGCATGTACTTAAAAAGAATATGTTTAAGTAATTTGGCTGCATTGGAAAGATTAAGGAATTTGCTTTAAAATGATATGCAACAAGTGTGTCCATAATAGCGTATAGAGTTTTTATAACCGCTTGTAACACACAACCGTTTGTGTAACATTTCAATGTAAATTTTATGTTAAAAAATACAGAATTTTTCAACATATTTTCCAATCTTTGCTTACTTTTTTTTAAGATGACATCAGTAGTACTGAATTTTAAAATTTTGTCACTAAAAATGTTTAGAAAAGGCTGTGGTGGTTCCTGAGATATTGGCTCTCAAAATAACCGAATGATTTTCCGACACTACACGCAAATGTCTTTTCCGAAGAGCATGTGTATTTTAAGACTGAAGTGATATGATACACTAAAAACTATTTTAAAACAAAATGCATTTAGTTTCTTGAATATTTAAAACAAATAAGTAGCTTTTTCCGACACAAGAAAAAAGTCCTTTCCGAAGAGCTCTTCGAAAAAGACAACTCTGTCAAAACAGTGCATTTTCCAACAATTTTAAAGAGAAACACACTGGAATATATTTTCTGATGAACGTTAATACATAAAATATCTTTACTGAAGAAACTAAGACTTAAACAGGAAGTACGAAAGTAAATGTTTCCTTTCCGAAGAGCAATCCAATCTCTGATCAGGAATGCTGTATTGGGTGTCTATAACTAACTTTTCTTCTGATGTATAAAAGCATTAGCACAATGTTTACAAATATTACATTGAATCTTGATTTGGGCAGTACTGCAAAACCCTTTAAAACACTGAGTGTAGAATTGTAAATTAAGGATAACGCAAATGTAAAATTGTATCTTGATCACTATTTTTCCTGTGATAATAGGTTAAATTCACTGACAATTACCACCAATAATTGAGTCGTTTCTGTGCATAATGCTGTTACATAGGCCTACGTGTCCCTGGCCCAGCAACTAAAAAACTATAAAAGTACATTCATGATAGCCTTAAAGTGATGACTTTAATGATGTTTTGCCCTATTATCGCCCATATATTTACCTATGAAAAATCGCAGATAATTTTGTAATCTGTGGTAAATCTCGAAAACATGAATACACGAATAGAAACAAATGTATAATCTCCAAAAATTGCTCCCACAAATTCAATCTGTTTAACAGTATTTAACAATACACTAAAAAATGTCCTTTCCGAAGAGCTCTGGACAAGTGTAATTTAGTCATATGGTACACATATATACTATCATGATTGTCTCATATATAAACAAACATTACTAAGGAATTTGTAATGATTCAGACAGAAGGAAAAATGAACAGGATATTCAAAGTAATTAAGTATTATGGTAATTGGAAAAATGATTGAACGTTTTTGCAAAAATCACCGGCCAAGTGAAGAGACTGGTCTTCCTATTTCATTTCTACGATAAAAACTATTCGTTATTTAGAACCATATATGTGCAAGCTTTAAAACAAAATATGCGGAACATATAATGAAACTTATCTTATCAAAATTTAATGACCTGATTTATTCAAAAGTTAAATGTATTTCCTCGTGGGATTTTTCTACACTTTACACATTAATTCCTCATGACAAGTTAAAATATGAAATATTTGGAATCATTAAAAAGACAATGACGGGTTGTAAATTTAAATATGTTAACTGTAATTCAAATAGGGCTTTCTTTTCTAGTGAACAATATGATGAATATATTTCTTTCACTGCAGTACAATTCTGTGAGGTGTTGGGCTTTCATATTGATAATATATTTGTTAAGTTTGGAAATACAGTTTTACGTCAGAATGTAGGTATACCAATGGGTACAGATTGTGCTCCTCTTTTAGCAGACCCTTTTCTTTTCTCGTATGAGTGTAAATATTTTACAAAGGACGATGAAAGATAAAGGTAAATTTCATATTGCAAAGTTATTTAATAAGACAGATCGATATATTGATGACTTGTTAAGTTTAGACAACCCAAAATTTAAAGACTTTGTAGGTGAGATATATCCTACTGAGCTAGAATTGAAAAAGACTAATGAATCTGATATGAGTGCACCTTATCTTGATCTTCTTATTAACATTGAACCAGACAACAGTATATATTGTAAATTATATGACAAAAGAGATGACTTTAATTTTGACATTGTTAATTTTCCACATTTGGATAGCAATATTCCACTTAACCCAACATATGGAGTTTATGTATCCCAGCTTATTAGGTATAGCAAGGCGTGTTCAAAATATCTAGATTTCAAATCAAGACACCATATTTTAGTGAGCAAGCTGTTAGGTCAAGGTTATACTGGTAAAAAACTTAAGAAATACTTTCTGGGCTTTGCTGAAAAGTACAAGTCATTAATTTCAAAATTTCAAGTTTTACTACTTGAGATGCTGTCGAGTTGGCCGAGAGGGTTTGAGCGCCAGCAAGTTCAGGCTAGGTGATTTGGGCCCTAACCACGAGGTTGCGATTTCGAGACGCGTCTGCCCATGCGTTTATTCTTTTATGAGTACTAGTATCTACAACTATTTTTGATGTTATGAGTATTGGCTATCATTTTTTTCAATTTTTTCAATTTTTCTTCAACATGTATTGTAATGACTTCAGTATAAATGAAATGTCCCTTGGTATTCTGGTTCTGGATTGTGATATTGGTTCTTGATTGGAGGGGGGAGGGGGATGTTAGACATTGTTTCTTTTCACGTTAGATCATGGTTTTGGGATAGGGTCTACTTTTCTTATGACGGATTTACACTTACAGTTTGCTTTTCTTGTTGGGTTTCTTTAAAGTTTTTAGTCACCCTTCCCTTTGGCATTTGTGCTTATATATATATATATATATTATCTCTGGGTCAATAAAAAAATGAAAGGTAAGACATTAAGTGAAATTATGATTCAGGAAAATGTTTTTTTCTAGCAAGTTTGAAAATCCACTTCTATAGGACTAAACGTGCTACCAATAGCTTGCTCAAGCCCAAATATAGTCTAGTTTTGTCATATCATTCCTACTGAGATATACAATAATAAAAAATTATAAAATTACAATTATAAAAAATGAACCTCAACATCCATTTATTCCTTTTTAGTACCAATGGCAATACTATCTAGTTTTATGGAACATAAAGTCCAGTTTATACTTGTACCAGGAGAAGCATTGTTAAGATTCTGTATAAAATCATTTGAGAATATAATCCAAATCTATAAAACCTAATCAAAGGGGTCACAATTTATGGATTCTGACAGTCTTCCCTACAGCTACATAGCTCAGAGCAAATTAGATCTACTTTCAAACATTTGCATCTGTTCTATTGAAACAGGTATCTACCCCATGACCTACATTTTATGTTGTGGCCTCAGTACTATCAGCAGTAGGAGAAGCCCAGCCACATTCATGTGGCGATAGAAACTGTGGGTAAGAATGCATCAGAATGAATAAGGACTCTAGGACTGCAATGTCATTTACTTTAAGGGTATCAAAAAAGATTTAAAGCTTAAGAACACTTGCATAATCTCAGGGTACTCCTTCTGTTCCTGCAAATCACTTGACTTGGGAGTAGTAGCAGATGCATCTAGCGATTGTATGAAAAGTGGTAAGGGCTAAACTTTGGTCATGGCCAAGTGGCCTTGAAATATTTAAGGCAGGTCGTACATATTGGAGGAATTTCCCCTTACCATAGGCCATATGCCATTCAAATTGACATTTTCAGCACAAGTTTCTGCCAGTTTAAACCACAAAATCAACTGTATTGACTATAATGCATGCTTCTTCAAACGAGCGAATGGTGATGGCAGATACTTAACTATCGGGCTAAGGTATTGAATTACCTCATTGTGAGGTCACTATCTTCTTGCCATCTTCCTCCAGGGTTTCAGATGAAATCGCATCATTATCGTGCACGCATTTAGCACATGGTTGGTGTGAAATGCTTTATGACCCAAGCTGCCAATGGCATCTGTTGTGGGGGCGGAGCTGCTAAACTCACTCCATCCCTTTGGTTCTACATTATGGTAAAATATGATAATATCAACCCTGACCTGTCAAAAGCTAATATATACTCCTCAAAAAAAGTCAAGGACGAGTCTTTTCCTCAAAGGTTTACATGTTAAACCCCATGTATGTTTGAACTCTTATTTTCAAAGCCTGAAACGAAAGAAAGACTGATAATGTCAATAGATATGTACCTTGACTCTATTCTCTATATTTTAGAAAATTTTCAATTCAATCTCTCCGTTACACACTGTAAACCTGCATAGTATAAATGCGGCAGTTCGCTTGTCACTGGTAGAAAGTCATTAATCACACATCTGGTGTTCTTGCACATGCGTAGTGGTAATAAAATCTGTCTTAGAAAATATGGCTGTGGTGTTTGAAGGCTATGTCATGTTGTCTGGTAAGCTTAAAATCTATGATTTCTACCGACATTTCTCTGTCTAAACTTATAACCTTATTATCTTATGATATTAAAGATTTGCTGAATCATATTTATTTGGTCATTATGTCACTATTTTAAAGGTATCAGTTAATATGAAATAGATATTTTTTGCATTTTTGAGTGTACTTTTCCATCATATTTTCTATATTTTCCTACTTTTTTACTTCAGAACTTTTTTCACAGTGAGAAACAATGGGGTCTTATGAAACAATACCACTTCAAGAAAAGTGTACATTATTTTGTTTAAAGAAGATATTGGCATTTTAATTGAGTAGGTGTTGGCCAAAATTGATATTTTTAACATTGGTTTGAATAGGCAACTTTGAGCTGTTGCTCGCAGAAAACAAGTGATATATCAAAGGAAAAAAATAATGTAGACAATTGATTTAGATGAGCAGAAAGAGGAGACTTTTAAGTACAAAACCATCAAAAAATTATAGGATTCAAAAAGTAGAATCAATAAGAAAAGTGACTTTTCATGCAAATGTGTACTAAAATTAAAATTTTATTTATGTACTAGGGTTTCATTTACAAAAGATAGATACAATGGAATGTGTTAGAATTCGGTTGATTATGATTAGAATTTGTGAACTTTTTTTACATCTATAAATTACTAATTGATCATTCTTTTTAGTTATTGCAAAAGTTATAGTTTCTAAGTAAGTTTAAACGAGTAATAACATGAAAAGTGAATGCGGTTTAATTAACCAAAAGTGGCTATAGCATTAACTTTCTACAGTGGAAGACTGTTTGACCTACTAGTAAACAAAGCTAAGAACTGGATACTGGCCTAATTAATCAAAACCAGCTTGACAAGCGAACTGCCAGCTCAGGTTTACAGTGTACAATATGTCAAAAATTGATGTCAAATTTTGGGAATTTAAAAAAATGGCAGAACCCATGTAAACCAATGGGAAGTGGTTGGGTTGCAAAAAGTCATATGAGAATATATCCATCCATTCAATTGCTCTCTAAAATGGAATTTAAATAGACAATTGAATTTGCTAACTTGTCTACAACAAAAAATTGATTTGTTTCTCCAGGTTTTACAAAGTAATGAATCTCAAAAGTCAAAATCATTTCTCAAGAAAAACCATTGAAATAACAAAGGGGTCAAAAATGAGTTTTCAAAAATACATTGATTCTCTATATCTGTAACTCTCACAAAGTAAGCTTAATACCTAACACGCAGAAAGTTCAATTGTCTACTCAGAAATTATTTTTAATAAATGTTTTACCGAATAGATATCCAAAAATCTGATTTGCCCCTAACCCACCATTTCCCATTGGTTAACATGGGTTCTGCCATTTTTTTAAAATTCCTCAACTTTGACATCAATTTTTGACCTATTGTAATAGAGAGATTAAATTGAAAATTTCCTGAAATATAGAGAATAGAGTCAAGGTACATATCCATTTACATTATCAGGTTTTCTTTCGCTTAGAAAATAGAGTTTAAAGATACATTTGGTTTAACATGTAAACCTATGATGAAAAAGACTGGTCCTTAACTTTTTTTGAGGAGTATATGTCATTTTTCAAATTTCCATTATTTTTTACATCTCCTATGGAATAATATGACAAAACAAGAGTGTATGGTGTATGACGCTTTTTAAGCTATTTGAGATGCATACGTCTCATAATTAAGATGATAATCTCACACTATGTGTTGGGGACATAAAAAACAATAAAAACATGACAGCTGTATGAAGTGGTATAAATTAGTTGAACTCATAATGTAATATCTGTAAAAATAATCACGTGTGCGCCTCTATGGGGTCCCTCTCTTAACGTGGACACAGTAATTAGTACCTTGTCATCTGAACGTGTGTCCATGTCAGTAGTTGGGGTATGGGTCTCAGACTCAATATGGCTGTTGAATATATTAGGAAACCTTTCACTATGTTTTTCTTCGACATCACTTCCACTATCAAACACAAGGCTTAGGTCCTGTGCATCCCATATACTGAAACTTCTACCTCCATATGTATAGAATCTGCTAAATTTATTGGTTGCACTATCCTTGACCTCACCATCTTTGAAACTAAATACAAGATTTCCTGAAACAGAATACAAAAACAGCGATATTTGATAGTTAATGCTGAATATGACCACAGAGCTCAAATGGAGTAGTTTTCAACCCATTGATGACAGCACATTGAATTCAATTGACACAAATGTCCATGATAACATTTTGGGTTAAGAAGTTATAATTTTGTTGTTGTAAAAATTTATTTATGATATCATAACTTTATCAAACATGTAATTTAGCATTTTATTTTACTTAAAGTCCTCGATAAATCGGGCTACGTATACCGCCGAGTTTATTCTTATTTTGGTATGCAAGCTATATCAACATAAGTACAAAACGTAATTTCGAAGGGCAAAATAGTGAATTATTATGCACCTCATTAAAATACTCAAATCTTATTGGTTCTTAGTTGCTTGTAATTTGGCAATACTCTGCTCTTTTCTGAAAACTGCCGGATATTTTTTTAATATCTGACCCTTTCGAGAAAAAGGGTCGGGTATTTTTTTCAATGTTTTTGCAACATTCCCACTTCAGAGTTTTATTTCTTAATAACTGGAGTACTACTTAAAGCTTACATCTGAAACTGGCGGAAAATAGAAGGCCGAGCCCAATATTTTTTCGAGGATAGGTATTCTGGCCATATCCAGCTCCTGATCATCCAGTATTTGTTTAATATTGGACCGAGGGCCGAAGGCCCAAGGTCCAATATTTCACTATATTGCCCGCATAAATGACGTTATTGGCTCTTGCTGAGGCAAGAGCCATATCTCACTTGGGTTCAGTAGTAAGTGATAACGACAATGGACTGAGGTTTAAACGTTAGTTTACTAGTAGAAAACCTAATGGGTACTATTTATGGCTTACGGACAACTCATCCCCTAGACAACTCATCCCTGGACATCTCATCCCCTGGACATCTCATCCCCTGGACATCTCATCCCCTGGACATCTCATCCCCTGGACAACTCATCCCCTGGACAACTCATCCCCTAGACAACTCATCCCTTGGACAACTCATCCCCTAGACAACTCATCCCCTGGACAACTCATCCTTCATCACATGAAGCTCAATTGTTAAGGGTGTCTTGAAAAAAATTACTTAGTAAATACATCTTAGATTATTCAAAACATTATTTTTCACTTTACTGACACAAATAAACAGTCAAACGATGTCATGAAAACTCTCATCTCTTATTCTTATATTACATGACTTAATATTTCCTGACCAAACAAATAAAGTTCTCTTAAACTTAAACATCATCCTTCTTCAAAGGACTTCATTTATGCTTAAATTCATATACTTGTAAAATACCCTTGCAGCAAGGATGCTTAAACATGGACTTCATTAACTTCATCTGTGAATGCTGTGAAAAAAAATCTTTGGATTAAAGAATATTTGAGCTATGAACAACAAACATATTATAACATCAAAGGAACTTCTTCAATCAATGTTAATACAGAGACATATAATGTTTTATATGTCTCTGGTTAATATGAAAAGCAAATATTTACAAAACAAATCACAGATTAATTGATTGATTATCATTTTGTTTTTTAGCAATCCCCCCCCCAGAAAGTTTTTGTTTATCACTGGTACTCCACTAGATTATGCTGGTTACCGAAACGGAAAGTAACAAAATGTCGGAACCTCAAAGTAACGATCGATTTTGATTTTTACCTAATTCCGGTGTTGCAGGCAGAATTCCCACGACATTTTTATCACAAACGTTTGTCGGTATCATATGTTAAGGAAAATGTACATGTTTGCAAACAAAGTACAGAAGACAACAGAACCATTGATTTAATACCTCACTATTGTTACATAAACGGAACAGATTTTAGAAGTTCTGTTTACATAAAGTAACAAAAGTGAGACATAGAATGTCATGGGAATTCCGCCTACAACTCGTGAAATAAGGAAAAAAGAAAAATCTTGTATACGTTCGAGGCTCCAACATTTTGTTACCCAAACAGATCAACAGCGTAATCGAGTGGAGTAACGGTGTTCATGTAATATATGTTTTTTGAAACTTAAAGCTGACCATATTCACAACCAAAACATTTAAAAATCATTTGAGTATCAAATATGAATAGGTAATATAATATTAAATTACTATACTCAAACATGCCAAAAGATTAGTCCTCCAGGGGATGAGTTGTCCAGGGGATGAGTTGTCTAGGGATGAGATGTCCAGGGGATGAATTGTCTAGGGGATGACTTGTCTAGGGGATGACTTGTCCAGGAGATGAGTTGTCTAGGGGATGAGTTGTCCAGGGATGAGTTGTCTAGGGGATGAGTTGTCCGGTTACCCTATTTATTACTTGAATAGTAATATTTATTGATGAAAATGAGTTAATTCCTCGAGCAAAAGTTCAACCCTAAGGTGTTAGTTTATAATAAAATTGCGTTAGAGAGGGTTTCAAACGACATATACGCACATTTTATAACAACACCATGAACACTCTGACTGTGCACTGATTTTCGGCAACATGATTTCCTAAATGCGACAGAAATACGAGCGACTTCTTGATTTAGAATTGTGAACAATTTACAGCATTAAAAAAACTACGAACATTTAACTATTTTATTAATATCTTCGGAGAACGAGAATCAAATTGACCCATTTTTTAAATGATCTCTTGTTAGTATTACTACCACCGTTAACGACCAGGACTGAAACAGCAAGAAAATCTTCGCACTGAACGATATCTAATTTTCGGGGAAAATTGCCGGTCGTTAAATGAATTTTCGACCGGTCTGAAATACTATATCGACCGCCACTATGACGTCACATATTGCTCAGGTCGATAAAGTAAAATGAATGCCTTCTAAACCAAGGGCGTTACAATACCCGGGAATTTATCGGTTCGTGCAGTACTTGTTTGTGATAGCGCCCTCTGTAGGTCACTGTGCTTATAGCCTACAGTAATACGGGGTAGGATATCGGGAATTCGGTCAGTTTCTATCCGTCGATTTCGCCATGAATTGAAGCAATGTGACCACTTTATCCACTTAAAAAAATTGATAATTGATTAAATCTTTAAACAAAATCGATAAACACGTTATACACTTCCTATCTCCTTAGAAATTAGCATGTATTTATGGATTGTGTTTTCGAACAAGGCTCGACCCAGACCAATAGGGAAATCCTTATGCTAATTAGTATGGCGTCATATTTTCCTGGGGAATCCTAGATTTCAAAGCCTCAGTCTGTTATTGTGTCAAATGTAAACGCTCTTTTGCAGACAGAAAATTGACAGATTAGCTTTTAACTTTCAGCTTTGATGTTTAAATATTCTGTATTTCTACCGGACTTCTTGCTGAATATCATATAATGTTATAACTTGATTTGGACCATTGCCTGATTGATCATTCTGAAATTTTGATTGTGATTCATGATTGATTGGCAAGAAAATAATTCCTATTGTTTTCCAGCGAAGTCAAAATGTTACAGCATGAGTTATAATGTCGAGTTTGCATCATGTTAAATTCTGCTAGTGATTAGAAGTCCATGCACAAGCATACACATAAGAGACAAACACACTCAGGCTCCAGGCCGTGGAGGGAAATATAAAACTATTTAAGGCACAAACTGGTATTAATAGACCGATATGTATTGTCTGCCATGTATTGAAGGTAAACCAATCTGCATTATTAATGTTTCTTCTATCAATACATGGATTGTGCAATGGAAAAGCAATGGCACAATCAAAAATGTGCATATCAATCGTGAATATCTCTCGGTTCAAAGCTTATTTCCAACAGAATCGTGTCAAAATATGTGTCTGAGTAACAGTTATACATTATAAGATCGCAAACTCTTACCAATTATCAGCCGAATGGCTCATTTTCAACGAAATGTCCTTAAGACAACAGCCCTGGGTCGCGCCTGAGACCAAAAACTATTTCAAATAGCCCTCCCCTAATTATATTGGATAATCACATTTATTCGTGCGCGCGCAGCTCATCCACTGAACGAAACGCCACTTCCCGCTGAAATCACCGGGTATTGATCTTTCCCTTGTCTAAACTAGCACTAAAATCCCTAGAACTGGCCAGGTGTAAAAGGGTAGGAGGTCCTATCAAATTATGGTCCTACTCTCCATTGATTTATATGGTGACCTAAATACAACTCCTTCCCTCATTATCTTATACGCAATCAGGACCAGATTTGGCCGTTAAGAAAGGAGACCATAATCCCTGGGGGACCATCATTTCTTTCACACCGGCAAGATGGTAATGGAGAGGTTAAGCTAACGATGTTTTTCACAACGTAACCGTGAACGCAAAGTACAAAAATTAACAAAGGAATGTATCGAGCGCTCATAGTTTTATGCGCGCTTAGTCTACTTCAGATACTCTTTCAGCTTCAGAGTTTCGGGTTTAGAACGGGAGATTTTGAAATTTGACGTTGGGTCAACGGGAACCATTTTACTCGTGTCTATTGAACACTATGCTGTCAATTTTGATTTCGATGCACAGTTGACAGTTGCGTCTCTTGCGAGTCCTGAAAACAAATATAGGAAATTTAATATTCTATTTCTTACCCATTATAACAATAACATGGAAAGAGGCTATCAGATCTAGCAACCTTGACTTGACAGATGTACAGCACGTAACCGTCCGCTAAATATCTTATGTACAACTAATACAATACGTTACCGTCCATAGAATTCGATAGGAGTCATACGTAGTCGTCTAACGACATTGCGTTTGAAACCTTATTATTTACGATATTCACCACGTTCCTGTTCTGGATTTGTCATTTTATGCCTTGTTTATACAATTTACTTACAGTTGATATTTTGAGTGGCTCTGAGGCACATGTACTGAGAAAACACGAGAATGGACCAAAAATTATGAACTTGGATATCTCAGTCGGTAGGTTTACAGCTTATATTCTGTTTCTTGTAGACCACCTGGCAGACTTGACCCAGTCTTTATAACCATCCATATATACGTCACCGAATGGAACTAGTTTAAAAGGAAATCTTATCTGTGAATATTGCCTACAGGCGAGAAAGAAGGCATGCTGCCTTTCCCATCCGCCATTTTTTGTTATCGTTACCGCAAAATTTTGCAAATCGCCTTGACGTAAAGAACCGTCATGCTATAACACCGTGCTACATGGGAATACAATTCCCTGGGAAACAAAACGCAAATACTTTTTATATGTTCAAAATGACCCATTTGATTGATGCATACACATAATAGCTTCATAAAAAACATCTACAAAGTATATTTAATAGTAATTTTCAATTTCAATGGTGAAACTTGCCTGGTTAGGATTATACGGAAAATGAACACGGGACGAAGATTGTTCACCTTCCTGACTTACCTCTGAATCCTGTACCTTGTAATCTCTTTATATAGGTTAGCGTGAGCGCTGCGCCTGCGCAGTTTTAAACTTTGGCGCACACTTTAACTCTGTTTGTTATACTTCAATAGTACCCCAAGTTGCCGCTAAAGCATGCAAATGGCCCCGTGTGGCCCCCAAAAAAGCATCCAACTGGCCCACTGTGCCCCCCCCCCATAATTATGCTAGTGGCCCCCTAAGGCCCCAAAGAACATCCTAGTGGCCTATGTGACCCATAAATCATCCTGGTGGCCCCCTTTGACCCCAAAAAGCATCGAAGTGGCCCCATAAAAGCATCCTAGTGGCCCCATGCGGTCCCCAAAAGCATCCTAGTGGCACCAAGTGGCCCTCTAAAGCATCCTAGTGGCTCCTGTGGCCCACTAAAGTATCCTAGTGACCCCCTGTGACTCAAGAAATCATCATAGATTATCATGGGCATTAGTGTCTATGTCCCTTAAATGAGACGTTTGTTGAGAAAATTAAAGCAAAGAAATTTATTTAAAAAATTCAGCACAGCCAATAAGGGGTGGCATCATTTTAAATAGACAGAATTGTATTCTTCAGATAATCTTTCATACGTTTTTTTTGTTAGTAATAAATTAGAGTACTACTAACTTTGAATAGTTGTTAATTCTTAGATTCATATTTCAATTTGAGGCCCATTTGGCTGTGAACAATTTCAAAAGATGTCTGCAAAAAATGAGAAATATATCTTCTTTTCTAAGAAATATAATAATACTAAAGAAACAGTGCTGCTATCTTCCAATACAAAAATAAAAACGTCCCATATTTGGCACATAGACACTTAAACATGTCCCCACGTTGCAGTTTCCGCGTTATTAGAATGAGACCTATACTGGAGTTTTGATGTAAATGTATATTAATCGTACAACTCACCAAGCTTTTTGGGATCCCTCAAATCTCTTTTAAGATCCTCAGACACACTGTCGTCAATGAGTGATTCTACAAATACAAACAGTAGCTTGTAGAAAGGCACGGAAAGTTGGCAAAATACATCGTTTCATTCATTGTTAAACTCCACTTAGGTAGCAACACAATAGAATGAACTGAATTGTATTTCTAAAGAATGTCTAGCTATTACAAAGAGGAGTGCATTATTTCTATTGTTTTTAAAGAATGTATAATTGGCAAGCTATTCAAAACCAGTGTGGTACAAAAGACGATCATATGCAGTGCACTAAAGCCGAACTAATTATACCCTATTCACTTATGAATCGGAGCAAATGTGACCCAGGCATAAGCACAGAATAAATCAAATTTTAAACTGTATATGCCCTGTTATGCCTGGGTCACATTTGCTCCGATTTATCGGCCGGCGCCCGGCCGATTGAGTATCCTGTTCACAAATGTATTCAGTTTTGAACAGAATACTCAATCGGCCGATGAATCGCAGCAAATTTGACCCATGCGTTAGAAGTAGTTCACTGAAGCTGAACTTATTACACCTACTCGCTTCTCAATACACTAACATTTCATAGTCAATACAAAAGAAGTTGATTTTTCCTAATATTGGACCATGGAGAACTTATCTTTTATAAGAGTCAATGCCCAATGGGGGGGGGGGTGTATAGGGATATTGTATATCGTATAAGAGGCTGAAAATTTATTGTATATTGTATAAGAGGGGGGGGGGAAATTTATCGTATATGGTATAAGAAGTGTAAAAAATATGGTATATGGTAAATATATGGTATATGGTATCTAGAATTAAAAAAGGCTAATTATCATGATTATAAATTGTACCCTAAAGTTCCCAATTGTGCCAACTCTCTTACTGTAACCGTGTTGGAAAAACATGGAAAAGTAGTCTCTCTAATATCCCAGATGCGAGTAGAAATAATCTTGATTTATGTCATTAAAAATTCACAATTCAGTCAAACTAATGTCATATTTGGAATCTACATGTAAAATTACATTTAAAAATGTGGTTTTGAAAAGAGTTTATCAACTTTGGAAATTTAATTTTCTTTGAAAATGTGACTTCCAGGTCGGGGAGATTCCCCATAGAGCCCATGTTGTAAAACGACAAAAAGTGAAATATCTTTTCTTGTGTTGGGCAGATAATATTTTATTTTACTGGACATATTTTAATTTGTATAACTATCAGATACATAAAGGTAATATGAAAACTGAACCATTAAAACTGATGCATATTCAAGTTTAAGGGAATTTTGTAATACCATGCCATGTTAATTCCCCCGAATCAGCCACCTGGTGGCGAAACTGGTAACTACCTACTCGCATCTGAGTAAATTTCCAGGTCGAGGAATGTTGATGGGGTGTTTGCACCTTCCCTGTCTTAAAGTCCAAATTATTTTATAATCTCTATGATTGCTTGTCCTGGAGTTAATGCATTGGCCTAACATATGCACCTGTTCAAATCCTCAGAAAATAGCCAAAATCCAATATATGACTGAAATCTGTTGCGATACCATCCGTGGTCCTTTAAAAGAAAGTTATTTCTAGTTCGAAGAGTAGTTTTATTCTCATCAATACATCTTTGCCTTGAAATCATTCGTGAAACATGTGGTTTGACCTTTATGGAAATTCGCTTCATTTTGACACACCTTTGTTTGACTTATACTGTCCTTAAGGCTGCCTTATCTGAAACCCCGAAGTGTCTCTGTTTCAAATGTTTAAAAAATCAAGTCTCATCTTGCGTTTATTTCAAACTCTAGTCCAGACTGAGTCCAATCAAAAATGAATCATCTACATGGAAGTTTGTGAAGTCCTTTATTTCTGAAACTGTTTTCAATACTTAATATTTTCCAGGTAACTGCTTTACAAAATTATTGTGCATTGTGAATCTTCACTATCTATCTGATACATATTTTCCTCAGCAAACTTTAGCAAAATTATGTTTCAAGTAATTGTTTCCCGGGCTCACTATGATGAATTCTATTGACATTAAAATAAGTCATGGGATAGTAAGTCAGAAAGAGGGACACTCAGAGTTCCACCCATTCCAATGATGCAGGTTTTGTGCTTATTTCGAATATCTTTATGGTACTTTTACAGGTAATGGCTGTAGCAAATTGCAGAAATGTTAAGTTCGTTTTTTGATCAAAGTAGGTTGTGAAATCACTAAAGAGAAGTCATGAATCTTATACCATAAATGTGTTTTAAATCAACTTGCTGAAAACAAAATGTGGTCACAGCTTTTCTGAACATGCGGATGTACCCGAATGGTGTCTTATTCATAATGTAATAAATGAAATCATGGTGGTATGTATGTGGAGTCTATTTGCCTTATAATAATACATTTACTTTGGTACATGGATTCTCTCCTAATATTATTTCCTTATAAATATCAAAACTTTAATCAACAGCAGTTTCAAAATTATCGTACATTGTATTTCACCTGAACGTTTGTAAAATATCGTATATGGTATAAGAGCTGTGAAAAATATTGTATATGGTATAAAAGGGGTGAAAAAATATTGTATATGGTATAAGAGAGCTGAAAAATATTGTATATGCATTTCCAAGACCCTCTATACACCCCCCCCCACCCAATGTGTGGTTAAAGGAAGGCAAACAATTTGCCTTGGGTCTTATGAGAAAACCAGAACAACGGCAACGCCAAAGCGTAGCGAATCCCATCGAACATTTTTCAAAATGGGCACCTTCTACCAAAAGTGTCATTAGACAGTGTGCCATGCTTATAATATTCACATACCAAATATGAACAAAGTCGCTATACTACTTTTCGAGTTATAGTAAAATACGTTAAAATGGTGGCCATTTTGAAAAATGGCCACCTTCTACCAAAAGTCTCATTAGACAGTGTGCCATGCTTATAGAATTCACATACCAAATATGAACAAAATCGCTCCACTACTTTTCGAGTTATAGTAAAATACATTAAAATGGCGGCCATTTTGAAAAATGGCCGCCTTCTACCAAAAGTGTCATTAGACAGTGTGCCATGCTTATACGTATTCACATACCAAATATGAACAAAATCGCTCCACTACTTTTCGAGTTATAGTAAAATAAGTTAAAATGGCAGCCATTTTGAAAAATGTCCGCCATTTTGAAAAATGACCGCCTTCTACCAAAAGTGTCATAGGACAGTGTGCCATGTTTAGACGTATTCACATACCAAATATGAACAAAATCGCTCCACTACTTTTAGAGTTATAGTAAAACAAGTTAAAATGGCGGCCATTTTTCAAAATGTCCGCCACTTTTCAAAATGGCCGCCTTCTACCAAAAGTGTCATTAGACAGTGTGCCATGCTTATAGTATTCACATACCAAATATGAACAAAATGGCTCCACTACTTTTCGAGTTACAGCAAAAATCGTAAAATAACGAGTAAAGGCCGCCATTTTTCAAGATGGCTGCCATGTGCTTTTTTAATATCTACATTTCTAGCTTTATTAATGTCCTATATAACTTTTTTAACATTTAAAACATATTGCTATTACAGTTTTACATATTGCACCTAAATTACTGTAAAATCGGCACTAAAATGGCCGCCATTTTTAAATGAGCGGCCATTTTGAAAATCGGCTTTCGAGCAGAACTTCTACTCCCATACGTACGGACGGACGTACGGACGGACGTACGGACGGACGTACGTTCGAACGGACGGACGGACGGAGGCGTTCCCTATATCCCTCCGAACTTCGTTCGATGGGATAATTATATTATTTCACATAAGACCCAAGGCGAATTGTTTATCCTTTACTTAATTCATTACTAATATAATATGAATATAAATACCTTTGGAGAAGACTTGTCCACGTATTGTCTCTGACCAAGTTAAACCGTGAGAATCGACTCGATACGCCTTTCCATCCCCTTCATTTGCAGAAACTATGAACTCTTTATCATCCCACGTAAAGTATTTAATGTTATCTGGCTGGTACATACCATACACTTCATATCCATACATACGAACACCTAATAAATGTAATAAGTTTGAAAACAATGAACGTGGGTAAACAACTGTGATACTTTAAGGTCAGGGTGCACTATGATGAAATTTCATGACCAGGTGCTATTTTCAGATAAACATAACTCATTCCACACATCATCTACATCTTTCTTTCTTGTACAAAATATACATTAGTGTACCTAGACTATTAATCGAGGGTTGATTGATAATTCTTCAGAATGTTTGAATAACTAGAAGGTTCAGTGGTTTACTCTTCAAAATTCCAAAGTGCACTGGATAAGTGACACTATGGAAACACTTAAGAGTGGTTTGTTATTAATAGTTCAGCAATACTTAAAACATACCATCCACATCACTTGCATCTAGCTTATATTGTGACCAGTCTTTATATCCTAGAGGATGAATCTCATCTATACTCTCAGTTGCTATGTCAACCATTGCCACTGCGTTATTCTCCTTAAAACAAACACACTTTTATCATGATTTTTATGTTTCAAATTACTATTTCTTTTGGTGGTTTACAAAACCGCACATTTGGTTTGTGCAATAAAAATTAAAATTAAACGTATTTAGTTACTAAATGATATTGTCGGAACTCCGGTTGATCTAGAAAACATAACTGTAGGCCCAGACCTGGTTAGTTGGTCTGGAAGTACAGGTGATAAGAAACACACAAGAATGGATATGATTTAGCACATATATCAACCATAAATAACAATAACAGTAAATAACGAAATGTCTCCATGATCTTCAATTATATCTGTAATCACTACTAAATCACAAATATCTCTAATTGTCTCTGACTGTCTTTCAATTATCCTAATCGTCTCTGAATATGGTAGTGGTAGTGCAACTCTCTCTTCTCTGATCTCTAATTCTGGTAGCGTGGCTCTCCCCCCCCCTCTCTCTCTCTCTCTCTCTCTCTCTCTCTCTCTCTCTCTCTCTCTCTCTCTCTCTCTCTCTCTCTCTCTCTCTCTCTCTCTCTCTCTCTCTCTCTCTCTCTCTCTCTCTCTGCTCCGGCTATCTTTTCTTCTTTTCTACTCCAGTCACACTCACTTCAGATAGCAACTTCTCTACTTCTCTGGATTCTCACTCCAGTTAACTTCTCCTCTGCTTTTCCTCCTCCTCCGGACTCTCACTCCGGAGACTTCTCTACTTTTCCTCCGGACTCTCACGCCGGGTACTAATACTCGGCTTCTCCTCCAAACTTCTCTGTTTCTCCTCCGTGCTTTCACTCCGGGAATTTCTCGTCTACATCTCCAGGAGGACTTCTCTTCCATTCCAGGAGGTCTTCGTCACTTCTAGGAGGTCTCTTTTAGCATAGCATATAATTTGTCTTGTCTATATTCAAAGAAAGTTTATTTGATTTGAACCATTCTAATGTCTTTTCCATTTCTAAATTTACATTTCTATATAGATCATGAAGGTTTTTGTTTGAACATAAGATATTTGTATCATCTGCGAAAATAGTAAATTTAAGAATATTTGAAACCTTATGTAAATCATTTATATAGAGAATGAATAAGATGGGGCCTAAAACAGACCCTTGAGGTAAACAACAAGTGATAATATTTTCTTCAGATAGAGTGTTGTTAAAAGAAGTAATAATTTTTCTTTCAGATAAATAGCTTTCGAACCAATTTTTTGCAACATTGCGAATTCCAAAAGTATATTCAAATAAGTTAAAGAAGGTTAAATAAGCAAACGGTATGTTGGTTGTGTAGTTTAGTAGTTAGCCATTTTGTTTTATCACAAAAATGCTTTTAATTGCATATTTGTTTTCACCACGTTACAAGTTTTATTTTAATGTCTCCTACGAAAAAGTCGGGTTATTTTCTTGAAATCGGAATAAAAATCAGGGTTTCTGGAAATCATGATTTTAATTTTTTTTTTAAATCGGGATGAGCAATAAAAATTGTGATTTTCCCGATTTAAATCGGGATTTGACAGGTGAGCTGAATCCTGCCTCATTGATTCGTTGGTTGATTCACTTTTTCTGTGCAACATATGTCCTCTGAAGATTTCAAAGCTCTTGGAGTTACATTTTTTGGTGTTTCTCATGTATAAACGTCAATGGCAGGTTTTGTGATTGCCAAGTTTCACAAAGTTTGTCCTTATACTTCATTATTTCTTGTGATGAATTACATTGTAACTAGATTTAAGGATTCTCTACAAATTGCTCAATATATGTCAGCGTAAATTTTTTCCGTTCTTTAGAAATTTGACGTCAAAAAATGGTAAAAATATTAGATATTTTTCAACTTGCTTCAATTTGACTTTTTATAAAAATCCGGCTACGGGCGAGCACTTGAAAAGACGTGTAATGAAAGAATAACTTATACCTGAAGACAAACATACGCTTTAGTTTCCGCAGCGTTGATTGTGATATATTCCGGTTCCATATCCTGAGAGAATGTACTTTGTAGGTCAGTCTGTTCAAGGCCATTGTAAAGAAATCGTACTCCTTTAGACACATACTCTGCCGACCTGCAACGACAAATGCACAATGATACATACTACCAATAAGACGTACAAAATGTACCGGCTAATATATACTGGTTTTGTAGTACCTTGCATTGAATCTCTTAAAATCAAGTGTTTTTACTGTGGCAGGTCCATAGCCCAGATCACCAGTGCTGAACTTGATGATGCTGATCGTTCCCTCGGCATCGTGGTACGGGGTATGGGTGAGCATAGACTTGGTAAGTCTGCCTTCGTTTGCAGTGAGAAGGATTGTACAATCTTTGGTGAACACTAACTGAGTAGGGAACACACCAACTGGAAAAAATCATTGACCCATTCATATTGCATATGATCAGGATATTTAACACGTTCACTCTGTTTTTATATTCTTAACTAGGTCTGATTCTTCAAGTTCTGAGATCCCCCACGCGGGCATGGATTGGGAATTTGACAAAAAAATGTTGGCCTGTCTAATTACTTACCCCGAGGACATATAAAGCCCCCCCCCCCCCCCCCCCCTATAAATGTGTCCATTTCCCTACCCTTGGAGCAATAAATCTGATCAAATATTCGCGACCCCTGGATCCTTCAACCATTTGAAATCTATTTTTAAACATCAGATATCCTTGTTAGTAGACTAATGCTCGTGAATGTGGAGGGATATACACATGCAATACTGTGTTTATGTCAATATTTTAATTAGATACACCATATATGGTCATAAGATTCTTCGCTACACATCCTACAACTAATTTATGAATGAAAAGTTCGCTTACGATTTACATATAACCAATAGAGAAGCAGCTTTTTAAATGACGCAACTAACCGCAAAATTAAAAGCCAATGAATACAGTCCGTTTTATGACGTTTTCGCAAATTGCCTGGACGTTTTGACAAAAATGAGCCGAGAAGGACATGGTTTTACTATTTGTTTGTATCTACAAAAGTAGAACATACCTGTATGAACGATCATTTTTTGGAATGGGCGGGCGGATTTTTGCGTTTCATCTGTAGGTCCCCCCCCCCCCAAAAAATGTCCCCCGGACCATTTTCACTATCTTAAAATACGTCATTTCATAAATTTGGCAACCTTAGCTCCCCCAAGTAGAACGCGGACGTGCATGTTTTCGAAGGGAGGGCGAAAGCAAGCTTGACAAACAATAGTTACGACACTGCAGTGTTATTCTAAAATTCCTCTCTCCAGCGGTTATTCTCGGCAATTCCCACCCATGGGAGCAATATTGTGTATCAAATTCCTCACGCAAACTTTTGAATGGTGCATAAGATGAACGCATATCGCTGGTCAGTATCAAGCCGTCACATTCGCATTTAAAATAACGAACGGAAAGTCTCGATTTCTATATTCTTAGTTTTCTTTTATAGTTCATGTGATGTTTTGTATTTGAACTGGATCAGACTTATATATGACATGGGATGACTTGAGTATGGTCATTTGTTCATATATCGTGCGTGGGCGCCACAGTCTAACGATATCTTATACCGCTTTATGGGGAGGTAACTGAAAATGTAACGGTCTTGAACGGTATGAAACATTTGTTCATATTTCGTGCGTGGGTGCCACAGTATAACGATATCTTCCACCGCTCCATATAACGGATAATGAATGATAGTAACCATCATGAAACCAAAATTTTAGTAACCTTCCCTTAAGCATTGGACGATATCGTTGAATTGTGGCGCCTATGCCAATATATGAACAATTGATCATACTCCATTTTCATGTCATATAAACCTGGATTGGTTCAAATATCAATGCAATACGTCAACTATAGTACTTTAATTCGATGAAAAACTAGAACTATCGAAATCGGCACTTCCCGTCCGTCATCTTAAATGCGAAGGTGACGGGCGTAAACACCGGTTGATACTGACCGGTACATACAAAATGATGGACACCTACTTGTCTCTTCCCTGAGTAAGTTCATGTTTTCCCTCATTCTATTGTATGCTGTATAGATGCGCAGTGTCCCATTGTCGAGAATTTCTTTATGTTGAAGTGTTACAGCCACATAGCTGCCACACACCTGGACGTCCGTAGCCATCAATTTGTAGAAATCATGGAACTCAAGTTTGTGAATAATGTTCAAATTGTTAACGTTTGTAACATCAATTACATGCAACACCCCAGAGTATCCTATAACAAATATAATTCAAGATTCTACAATATGGAAGAAAGAACAAAATTATAAGAAGTAACCCTACTATCACACCAAACTAGTTCTCACCACGTTCTCGAAAACGGGCTTAAACTGCGCACGAACGGATTTGACGTTCTGAGAACCGTTTGGGGTCTGTTTACAAACTTTATCAAACTACCCGAACGAGTAGGTCATCCAGAACTTAGAGCATGCTCAAAATTTTCTGGTGACGTTTCTGGTGACGTCACGTTCTGCAATCAGAATTCGACGAGTGACAACTTACTTAAGATGACCTAGACGCACTTGGCACACACAACGAACCGAACTGTCGTACTTCAATCCTACTAGGAACGTTTTAAGACGTTGTGCAGTCATGCGTATATTGCAACGTATTTCTGCGGCGAGCGTAGGAAAACTACGCTCGCCTTGCGGCCTCAATTCGGCGTATCCAGTTTTTTACAGGCCGCAGGGTCGCCGTAGAAATTATAACTCGGAGTTATAATATTTGTTCATTTCTGAGGTCCCCGTAGAAATCAACTGGCTCAACAAGATTGAATCATTATTTGTCAATGTTTCACTATCACTTTTCATTTGATATTACATCCTAGCACTATGAATAACATTTATAAATTGTCCCGATGTAAATAAAATGAAAAAAGTATTATTTATCAACAGAAATTAAAAATTCACAGTGCGGCTGCCTTGGTAAATGTGACTGCAAAAGTATGAGAGCGCAGAAATTCCACGGCGAGCGTAGAAATGTTACTGGCCGTAGAAATGATAGACCGCAAGGTCGCCGTAGGAAATGTGACTGGGGTGTAACATGGCCATTTTTATATTTCTCACTTTTCATATTGATCAGTCCTATATATTTCCCTTATTCTCATTTTAAAAGGTCCCTAGTTTACTATTGTATCAGTGCCAAATGTTTTAATCCTCTTGTTTGCCATGCCTTACCGTTTCGCTATCTTTTGTTTCAAACCAGTTTTTTATGGAATTTATTTTGTATCAAAATTGGACATTACATGATGTATGGGAAAAATCGAACTATATGATGCGATACTCGAACCATATGATTCGAAACTCGCATCATAACTATGCGAAATACGCATCATTATATGCGAAACTCGCATCATCGTGTGCCATTTTCAATCCATGTTATACCAACAGTTAATTTTCTTACAGAACTTATTTTCATTCACACACGCACTGGTTGTATCAAGTGTCACACAAAGAGTTAGCACTATCTCAAATCACTTTCCAAAAATCCAAAAGCAATGTTGAAATGTCACACGGATTGTGTTATAAGTTGCATAGAATACTGAAAGAATTACATATGGATCAAAGTAAATTTCGAACGAACGTGTCAATTTTACACACGCATTGAGTTCAAACTCGCATAGGATGGCTCCCGCTCGCATAGGCTGTCACAAACAAGTTGCACTTCACACAAGGTGCGAGATTTGAAGTCACGTGATATTTACATCCTGATTTCTACAATATGGCGCCCTTCGTTGAAATGTGATAAAATGTAAATTTTAAATTAAAAATATATAATAGGATACCCCAGGCCCTAGTCTAGGGCCGGGGTCTAGGGAGACGTACAGTGGCCATATATTGAGAAACTACAAACTAGATCTTTTTATCTTTTTGCCGCGCTGATGTGTTATTTCGTTCAGTGCAAAAGTAACGCGAGATTTAGAACAAAATCTCGAACATCTCTAGAAAGCAATTTATGTTACATCAAGGTGTGTGATCGGTACATCAAGGTGTGTGATCGGCACATCATGGTTTGTGAAGGGGAAAACGTTTGTGCGAGCCGCACAAGAGTTTGTTCGACTTGTGTACCCTGTTCGATGTCATTTTTGAACAATGCATACACAAATACGCATGTACAAGTGTGATTTTACAAACATAAAGTGTACAAACTCGAACAAACCGTGTATGAAATCACACGGATTGTGTATGTATTCTGCTAAACGCTATTCTATGTGTTTGAGATATCACATAAATAAAAGATGTCCAATTTTGATACAGTTTTAACACCATAGTTTTTAGTTTTTCATGTTGTATGTTCAATGTTGTTTTGTATTGTGTAACTTCCATAAATGGAAAACATTCATTCACTTGAGTTTGGGTGTTGGCCCAGCCTCAGTTGTTGCTTATACATAGACTGTACAGAACATGATTTTTGAAGAATTGAAATAGATTTGTTTTTATCGTATTTTATATTACTTTTCTGTTGACTTTTATATTATCGCCACCCACGGCCTAAACCCCGGACATTACACTGGTACCAGGAGTGGGGTAGGTGAAGGCAACAAATCAGTAGGAACAAATAAAGTGGGGTAATAAATTTGGATATTTGACAGTAACACACAGAGGAATAATTGGAGATTATTTCTTTTCAAAAACGGAATTTACAAAACGATGTTGGTTCTGTAAATCAACAAACCACACCAAGCGACAATGTGAACTACTAGTATTCAAAAATGCCAGGTATTTCTGTTCAAAATGCCAAATATATGGACACCGTGATAGAGATCACCAGGAATTCCCGACAATCCAACAAAATGTCGTGAAATCAACCAATTCTGTTTCGACACAAACAAAACCTTTAAAATCAAATGAACGACCAAAGCAACATAATAAATATTGCCAAACAGCAAACTGTAAACATGGATATTTATAAATACAACATGGACAACAACAAACGTATAGAGAGCGAATTATATGGACAGAAGAATGGCAATCGAATATACAAAGAACGCATCCAGACCCTACAATCACAGAACGATAACATATCAGCCGTAATTAAAGCTCAAGACATACAGATCCAAGAATTACAAAAGGACATACAGGAATATTCTGATCGCACAACTACAGTCGGTTTCATGGTAAAAATAGCAAGAACTTAACTTCGACATATAAGTGTTATATATAAATATTGAAAAAAATCACAAAATTCAAGTTCTGGTGTGAGGTTCCAAATCCACCCGCCAAAAGGTACGACCCCTATATAGTCTATTTAAAAATTTGTGGTTTTGTTCTAAATAACGCCATAGTTGGCTTCTAGGGTACCTAGTATGCCACTATTTGGTATCAAAATAAAGAGGATGAGTTCTAATTTCATTTGAATTACGAAAATAGCGATGTAGGTCAAAATAGTTCCGGCGTGAGCATGTTTACTACGCGTTTGCCCGTCATCTCAGAATTGAGGAAATGGTAGCAAACGCAAGTTACAATAAATGGACGCTGATATCTCAAAAAGTAACCTGACTCCCTATAATTTGATGTAGATCAATCGAAGCCCTATATGAACAGGTACATTTTGGTATATAACACCATGGGGGTAATCGTTTTATAGTTGATCACGAACGCCATATGTGCAAAGTATTGTTCTGAATTTTCGAATTTCGTGCTGGATTACGGTACTCACACCTTCTGGGGTACATATCGCCATTTTCGAACGAATTAGCCCATACAATGACTATATTTCTGCAATCCCCTATACATAAACTTCATCTTGACACTATATTAATGATGCCCCAGACAAGATAAGAAACTCAATCAAAATTCTCGCAGATGACACCAAACTCTATGGGGAATGTGTCAGTGCCGAACAGCGAGAGAGCCTTCAACAAGATATTGACACTCTAGTTAACTGGTCAAAGGATTGGCAATTAAAGTTCAATCAAAAAAAGTGTAAAGTTTTACACTTAGGTGGTAAAAACGTAAACCAACAATACAACCTAGATGGTATCATGATAGGGTCAGTGACAGAACAGAAAGACCTAGGATTCACCATGGACAAAGAACTAAAATTCAAACAACACATCAGTCAAACTGCAAAAAAGGCAAATAGTAAATTAGGAATTATCAAGAGAAGTTTTAGTCACACCAAGGAGATCATAGTGCCACTCTATAAATCTATGATTAGACCTATATTAGACTATGGCAACATTACATGGCACCCAAGACTCTTAGGAGAGGAGCGAAAAATAGAACAGATACAGAGAAGAGCTACCAAATTAATACTAGATTTGAAGAATAAGCCGTATCAAACAAGGCTTAAAGAGCTATAGTTCCATTCCCTCCACTACAGACGTAGACGAGGAGACAGGTTTATAAAATTATTAATGGAATTGACACTATAGAGCATAGCTCATTTTTTACCAAGGCCACCACAACCACTAGAGGACACCCCCCTGAAAATGTACAAACACCACTGTAACACCACCCTTCGACAGAACACCTTTAGCAACTGAATTATTGAAGACTGGAACAGCCTCCCAGAGAAGGTAGTGACGGCCCATAGTGTAGATCAGTTTAAATGGAGACTAGACAAATGTTGGCTAAATTATCACTATGATATTGAACAAATGTTTCACTCTATTGAGGTGAATACCTGTACATCTTTCACAAGTGATATTCCACGAAGCCCGAAGGGCAAGTGGAATATCACCTTGTGAAAGTGCTACAGGTATTCACCGAAAATAGAGTGAAATATTTGTTTTATTATATCACTGTCTAGCTAAACATCCCTAATATTATTAAGTCATAGGTTAACATTGAAATACATACATACATTCAGATATTTTTACGAATCTACTCGGTTCGTCTGCCATTTTGACTTACACTGAACTAAATTATTTACATTGAACGAAAACAAATTCTTTGAAAATTCTCGGGAGCGTGGGATATCGCTAGATATCTCACGGTTGTCTTATCTGATTAGCATTGCCATTGAATATCGCCAGATATCCCACGACATGTGACCCGGTTTTGACCAATCATACTGTCGCTAGCTTGATAGTGATAAAATAAAGTTTAATATCTATTACATACATTTAAACTAAGATCTGTGCAACTACAGGACTTTTCAAGACCTATCAGCTCAGAATTTGATGATGATGTGTCTCGATTTTTAAATATCACTACGCCAACATAGGGACTCAGTTTTAGGTAAAATCCCTGCTTCACCGTGGTGAAGAAA